GGCAGACATGACCCTTAAGTACTACAGCATGTATGTCGTAAGAACAAGGACTTTTTCCCTCCATAACCACAGTACACTTGTCAGTATCAGGAAATTTAATGTTGATGCAATACTTTATCTTATATAAACTCCGTATTCAGAAGTTATCAGTTGTCCCAATAATGTCCTTTATAGCTGTTTCTCCCTAGTCCAGGATCCATTTCAAGATCATACACATTGCATTGAATTTTTAGTCTCCTTTAATCTGGAAGAGTTATTCAGTCTTTCTTTGCCTTTTATGACCTTGGTATGTTTCAAAAGTACAGGTCAGTAAAGTACAATATCAGAAAACCTATATAATAAAGAGGTAATATACAAATTGACCATCACGCCCTCGCACAAGATGGCTGCCCCCATGTGGTCAAAGATGGCCCGCAGGAGAGGGCAGTTGGGGAGGACTGAGCCAACAGGGGTGGGCAGTTGAGGGCGACCAGGCCTGCAGAGGAGGGCAGTTAGCGGCGACCAGGCTGGGAGGGGAGGGCAGTTATGGGTGACCAGGCCAGCAGGGCAGGGTAGTTAGGTGTGACCAGGCCTGCAGGGGAGGGCCGCAGGCCGGCAGGGGAGGGCAGTTGGTGGCAATCGGGCTGGCAGGGGAGCTGTTAGGCGTCAATCAGGCTGGCAGGGGAGTGGTTAGGGGGTGATTAGGCTGGAAGGCAGAAGTGGTTAGGGGCAATCAGGCAGGCAGGCGAGCATTTGGGAATCCTGGATTGTGAAAGGGATGACCGACTGCCCGTTTAGTCCCGATCCCTGTGGGGCAGTCAGACATCCCCCGAGGGGTCCCAGATTGGAGAGGGTGCAGGCTGGGCTGAGGGACACCGCCCCCCCCCCCAGTGCACAAATTTCATGCACTGGGCCTCTAGTATCATCAATAATATTGTGATAACTATGTAGTGGATATGGTACCAGGTAGGTACTGGAAATATCCAGGGGGAACACTTTGCAAAGTACAGTGGAACCTCAGTTCTCGAACTTAATTCCTTCCAGAAGGCTATTTGAGAAGCGATTTGTTCGAAAACCAAATAATTTTTCCTATTAGAAATAATGTAAATTGAATTAATCTGTTCCATACCCCCAAATGATTCCCTGTTTTAACCTTTCTTATATGCAGTACATGTCTATTTAATCTATAAATAAACACATATTTTCTTAAACTTATCGAACCACCCCCCACTAGCCTTAAACGAATCACTTTCAGCACTGGGTCTAGGGATGTCTTTCAGGTCAGCATGCAGCATCTTTGCTTGCTCATACATCACTGCCTCTGTAATGCTAACTGCTTTTTATTTCTCCAAATCAACAACAGTTTTTCTACCTCTTCAGTTGTCTGTGATCATTGTCTCTTTCACACCCTTAGCAACATTACCAATCTTTAAAAAAAATGTATCTTTATTGCTACAAGTATTACAGATGTCCTCTTTGTTTGTGGGTTTTTTTCCCCATTGACCCCCTCCACCTCATACCCACCCCTCCCAGGCCTTCACCTCTCTACTGTCTGTATCCATGGGTTTTGATCAGATGGAATCAATGGACATTTTTGGAACATTTCACCCCAAAGCTACAGAATATACATTCTTCTCATGTGCACATGGGACATTTTCATAGACCACATGTTAGAACACAAACTAGGTCTCTACAAGTTCAAGAAGATTGAAATATCAAGCATCTTCTCAGATCACAATGGCATGAAATTAGAAATCAATTACAATAAAAACACTCAAAAACATTCAAGCATATGGAGGCTAAATAGCACGTTATTAAATAATGAATGGGTTACCAAAGAGATCAAAGAAGAAATAAAAAAAAAACATCCTGGAAACAAATGACAATGAACACACACAACAACCCAAAATTTATGGGACACAATGAAAGCAGTCCTGAGAGGCAGTTCTCAGCATCACAGCCCTACCTCAAACAAACAAACAAAAACAAACTTTTAATAAATTATCTAACCCTACAACTTAAAGAATTAGAAAAGAAATCAAGAAAAGCCCAGAGTAAGCAGAAGGAAGGGAATAATAAAGATCAGAGTGGAAAAAGTGACATAGAGACTGAAAAAAAAAAGATCAATAAAACCAAGAGCTGGTTCTTCAAAAAAATAAACAAGATTGATGAACCTGTAGCCAGACTCATCAAGAAACAGAGAGAGAAGACCCAAATAAACAAAATCAGAAAAGAGAGAAGTGAAATAACATCACCACTCTTGGTGGCCTCTTTACGTTTTAAAATTGTGCTAATGGTTGATTTCACCAGCAATGAAAGCATTCTCTTGTTTGTTGCCTGAGACATGCTTCTTTTTGCCATGCTGATTCCTCAGCATGAAAGGGGTATCATGACGAAAACCGAAGTTTGGTTTGACAACCAAGACATTTTTCTGTGAACAGCTTGGTGGAGAACTGAATTGTTCAAGAAATGAAGTATATGATTGT